AGTTAATTCAAGGTGTCCATTTATTTACCATAATAGTAAATTCAGGCATTCTTCTGCTATAGCATACATCGAAATGCATATCTGTAACCCTTACGTAGAAATCAATTACCACAGAATTTTGACCACAGCTTCAAGACTCATCTCTGAATGTCTTTTTTGTTTCTGCAGTTGTTTTCCCAGTCATCAAATGTGAAACCATCGAACTATCATGAGAGTGACTACATATTTGAAAATCACGAATGTCGTGTTTAGTCTTGGGAGGACAAATAAGAATTTGAGTGCGCTTTGCAACCTCCATTTTTTTCCAATTTTGAAACGCTAAAACTTTACGCAGCTTCGAGGAATGTTCATGAAAATACTATCGTATCTTGGGGCGTTTTTTTTATAAACCCATAACCGGTACACTTTCGCATTCCTTCTCTCTCACATTTTCGATTCCATCTGCAGTAGTTGAAGATATGCAACAATGTGACTAGCTTTGATTGATCTATAACCTGTAGGACTACTGGTCAAAAAAAAACGGGTTCATACTCTAACCAACCAATGCTCAACTTCTGGTGCAGGCGTAGCGTATTTTTCTCTTCTGTTTCTAATACTTGGATGACTTATGACGGGCTTTCTGTCTGTTTTGTTTGTATTGTATGTGTGTTCGAAAATAGTACAGATGAATCAAGAAAATGTGGCTTATGTGATGGTTAAACAATGAGCTGTAACATGTGTGTTGGCTTTTAGGTATGACTTGCAAAAATACCGAGAAGCTGGAATGGCGCCGTTCGCAGACTTTGTTTTCGAAATAGCGCAAAGACTGGCCGAATTGGGACCAGACTTAGCTGAGACGTTACTCATGGAAGCAGTGATCGTCTTTTCTGGTGCGAGTTTTTTGTCTCTTAGCTGCAACTAGACTATCAGGATGATAGCGTCGCCTTAAGTGGAATCAAACGAAAGCTTATCCTAAGTGCTTGTTTTCAACCCTAAAACTTTAAATCTATTACTACGCTTGTGCAGAAATTTTTTACAATTATTTGCGTAACTTTAATTGACTAGGAAATGCTAAAAACAATAATTAATCAATAAATCGAATTTTTCTCGATATTGCATGTGTTGCTATCCAGCGGACTTATTTGAATCTTTGGCATTAGCGATCCCTGGCCTTGCCACAAATTCTGCCACATGCTTTCTAACCAACGTACAAAATGTAGTTACGTGCTGATCAAAAAAGCACTGCTTGGGCTATCTGTAGACACAACAAACTCTCCAAGTTTAGCTCCAAAACCCGTGAAATTTTTCTTCTAAAATTCTCAGCTCCCAATGCTGCTCATTCGGTAATGCCACTCAAAATGGGTACATTGCATTTTTCTGGGAAGATTTTAAGGTATGATGCTAGCCACGTGCCAATGCTACCCAAAATAGGCCTATAGAACCACTATTTCATCACTACATCAGCAGAAGATGATTTGCCAGTACTAATCGTCATTCAAAAGGCATTCGCTTCCTATGTCAGATATTTCTAATTGACGATAGTTGGTGTGAACTAGCGAATTATGGGTTGATGCTTCATAAATATGGTCTTTGACTATTTAGCATATCTTGATGATTTCCACCTCATCTAGTACGTAACATCAAAATATACTTTTGAGTAGTCAGCTTGGCCGCTCAGTTTTCGACTGCTGCAACCTCATGCCAATCTAAGCACTGTTGAAAAACACATTACTACTCCATAAAGAAAATAAGATGATAAAGATCCAGTGGAATCCAGAGGATCATGACGCTATACAGAAAAACCGAGACACTTTTGCTATATACATTTGTTTTTACTTTGCAGAGAGACCAGGACTACTAGATACGTACAGAATACAGGAAACTCAGGAAGTCTATATGGATGCTCTTCAACAGTACATTGACGTAAAAAGACCAAGGAATTTCACACTCTTTCATCGTCTCATTGCCATTCTTGGAGATCTGCGAAGATTCTGCACAGAGCATGTGCGATAAGCTCTTTCAATTTCTCTTGCTCCTTTAAGAGGAGAATGTTAGTAATAAAATTTAGGTGAATGCCTCATCTTCAAACAACGACTACGATAGCATCATGGATGTAAAGCCGGAGAAGGCAATTTTGGAACAAATAATGCTGCAGAAAGCCCCACACTTCTCTGCGTATCATATATCTCGTTGAATTGCATTTTATTCAGCCTTATTGCCTTCCTTTTTACTATGTAGATACATTCAGGGTCCCATAGTTTCGGTTGTAATCTATCTACCGGTTCCTTATCATGTACACTTGCTTTTCTGATGCAGCTTTGACTATATAAATCCATCAGAACATTCTCATATTTACGACATTGATAATGAGCCATGCAGTCCATGCTACCAATTTCACTAGAACTATCTATCTCTTAATTAAACCTTCCTAATCTCTTAGGTTGCGAAGATGTTTTAGTTATTCTTAAAGGCCTCATACGATATTCTTTTTCGTGGTTCGCGTTCTGAAACATTAGCACGTCGTATATGTTCTCGTAGGACGAATACCGCGGGAGCCCGAGTTTTCTTTGGCTTGCATCAAAAATAGTTGATTTACGAAGCAAACATAGAGAATATTTGAAAGAATGAATAACGCAATTTTATGTCGT